GTAGGCGGTGCGCCGGCGGCCCCGGCCCCACCCTGTAGGGAACCCAGCTGGCGGGGAGCCCTGCCAGCCTCTCCGGGATGTGCCCCCCAACCCCCGCGTTCCGAGGACTTAGTTCCAGGCTGACTGGTTCGCTCTGACCGTTGCATATTCTCTGCTTTCCTACATTTCAAAGATTGCAGTGCTTGGCAAATTCGAATTTTTCAAATCCTAACGTGATAACTTGCTCCAGCATCTCAGCTGTCATTTCTGGTACCACCTTCCCGTCCTCACGCTCTACTTCCTTTCTGTGCATCCAGCATTTTTATAGATACAAATTATTATTATCGCTACTGGAGTACTGCACTTTACCGTGAACTACTCCAGCAGCCTTAGATCGTGGATGTTGCTAAGTTGTTTTCACTGATGAAAACACTGAACCGCACAAGATCCGGTGAGTGTCGTATTGTTGACAAGGAGCAGAGCTAAAATTGAAATTTAAGTCTGTCACAAAGTCTCTCTGTATTTTGTTTTCCCACACTAGCTCCTCCCTCCTGTTTCCTCTTTAAAAGTTCTTTTCACTGAGTATTCTATTCATACACATTAGACATTGGATACCACTTCCTAATTCCCTGAATTCTTGAGCCAGTCCAAACCGTGGCCTTCAGGTGCTCACAGGCATCTCAAACTTGACAATTCTTAATGACAAATGCACTGTCTTCATATACACCCATCCCCAATCTATCCTCCCCTCCAACACAAACCTGTTCAGTCCACCAAGTCACACAGACATAAACCTTTGTTCTTTCCCTTTCCTTTATCCCAAAGCCTGTCCAATCCAGATTCTTCAAAATCTGTCTCACACGTGTTTCACTGTCCACATGGCCCTTATTCCCCTTGCCAGTGACTTGGGCCAAATGACTTGCCTGGACTGTTTCACTAGTTTCCTCTAACAAATCTCCTTCGTCCAGTTCAGCTCTTCTCCAGACTATTCTTTGCTGTGTTGCTGGAGTGATCTTTTCTTTGGCTTAAAACAAAACAAACAAACAACCCCCCCAAAAAAAAAACTGGCTATAAAAGTAAAAATTTGATCTGGGAAGATCTTTAATACATATTGGTAAATTTTGAAACTCTTTGCTGTGTTGCTGGAGTGATCTTTTCTTTGGCTTAAAACAAAACAAACAAACAACCCCCCCCAAAAAAACTGGCTATAAAAGTAAAAATTTGATCTGGGAAGATCTTTAGTACATATTGGTAAATTTTGAAATAAGTTGCCAAAAAATTCATACAATATGAAACCAATATGGGGCTCAAGGAGGATAGGGGATTTCAAAATAAATAATATGTAAATATTTAATGAGATCTAGAAGACTAGAAGAGTTCTCAACAACAACAGAAAGCTTGCCTGCTTCTCTAAGGAGCAGAATGGGATTAAGGGAGATGAACTTTTGATTAATTGGTGTACTGTGATATTTTTCTAAATAAATTGCATTTTTCTAGTCTTCTTTCCTGTCAGTTCCCCTTTTGTGTCCTGTATGCAGTCTTTTGGAACTTGCTGCTTTTCAAGCACCTACTGGTGCTGCACATCTCCAAATTTTTGCCCACTCCCTTTGCTTGCGGTGTTTTTTGATGCCTTGTCTGGCGGATCTGTATTTATTCTTCACATCATTCCAGATTCTGCCTAAAAATCACTTTGACAAGGCCTCCTAATTACTCTTCCCTCCGAGTTCGTACTTAATTCTTTCAGCACTTAATTTAGTTTAATTATAAATGTCTATTTTTGACTCCTTCATTGGATTGTGAGCTCTTTGAGGTTCAGGAAGATGTTTCCTTCACCTTTAAAGCCCACAGTATGTGCTCAGTGCCTTTTTTTTTTTTCCAGTGATCAATGGGTGACTGGTGTGACTTGCAAATTGGTTCTCTTTTTTTAAAATCCTTATTTTCACATAAAATTCATGGAAGTATCCTTTCTGATTTTCCCAGTTACTAGAATCAAGTTGTCTTGTTTTTTGGTGTTTTTAACTTCAGTGTGTGCTTTTATATGCTGGAAATTTTTCTTTGGTTGTTGAATTATATTGTCTGTATATGACAGAAACTCTGAAGTCTTTAGCCTGACAAAAACCATATTAATTTTTTTCTTCTGTTTTAGTACATCCTATTTTTGTGCTATAATTTCATTTTCTCCCTCAAATTTCATTCAGGTATCTTTCTCCATTCTTGTGTGAACCTCCACTTTAATATTCCTCTTTTGCTGCGTTTTGGGTGGCTTCACTTGACTAGAGGTGTATTACTTTTGCTTTGTCTTTTTTTATTTTTATTTTTTATGTTTTTGGTAGGATGTCAGTGCTCTTCTTGTCCAAGCTTGCCGACTGGTGCCTCCTAATCAGAATCATCTTGTCAGCAAAGTGTCTAAGCTGATCCATCATTTACTTAACAGATTACAGGTAATATATATAACTTTAGGATTCAGATCGTGAACTTTGAGAATAAGTACATGCCTTTAAACTACATCTGTGGTACGTATCATAAGCTGGTCCTTTGAGATGCTTGGAAAAGGTAACACCTTAAGAAAAATGATATTAAAAGTAACTCTGACATTATTCTGCAGAATTCCAGAAATTTGTCTATGAAAAGTGTTTCTGAGTCAATAAACCAATGTCCTTCAGATTCCCTATTCCTAGATTTTTTATTGAAGATATAGTCAACCGAGCTATAGCTCATTAAATTGAAATGATCCCCTAGATCCCCTACTTCTTTCCTACTAAATATTTTTCCCCTTTTCTGAAACTGTCATTTTTGTCTTCTACTTCTGATATGTGCAAAACCTAAGAAGAAGGCTGAGGGCAAGGGGACACCAGGATAAAAAGACCCAAGTTATTTATATTGAGGTCTGTACTGCAGCTCTCTTTAGAAGGTTTTCCAATTTGCTCAAGAGATCTTAAGATAGTTAAGATTAAGACTATTACCACAGAATGTAAAGAGTACAAAATATATCAATTAGTATTATGTCAAGAGGATACTTTGGGCTACAAGAAACAGAAAAGCCAACCCAAAATACCTAAACAATAAAAAAGAGAAAAAGGAATTATGTCAGGTAACAAGTCCCAAGGCAGGCAGTTCTAGAGTCCCTTTATAATAACAGGCCTACTGGCATTATTCCATTCTGCCATCCTCAGTGTGTGTGGGGGGATATCCTCAGGTAAACTCTCACATAGTCATAAAATGACTGCCTAATTCTAAGCATCCCGTGCAAAATAACTAACATTCAGTAGAAATCAAAGAATGAGCTGGTCTTGTCTCTTGTATTTTAAGAATGAGCAAACTTGACCCACAAGTAACTCCAGCAAGCTCTCCTGATATTGGAGTGCCAACTTGTATAAACAGCTCTCTAAACCAGTCTCTAAACAGGTTGAATGATCTTACCATGAATGACTTAAAACAGTGGTTTCATTTGGTTTCAGTGCTGGGAATCGAACTCATGGCCTCATGCTTGCTAAGTAGGTGCTCTACCACAAAGTTAGCCCCACACCCTTAACACCAGTGGTTTCAGCCTTGACTGCACATTAAAATCACCTGGAGGGCTTGAGCTGCCTGAAAGATTACAATGTGCAGCCAAAATGAGTTTACAGTAGTGTTTCTCACCCTCTGTACTCTTGATATTTTAGATTAGATACTTCTTTGCTTATGTCTTAGTTATTTTTTGCTGTTGTTGTTGCTGCTGAGACAAAATATCCAACACCAAACGTTAAAGGAGAAAAAGTTTATTTGGCTTACAGTTTGTAGAGGTTTTAGTCTATACTTGGCTGGCTCTGAGGCACAGTAGCACATGGCAGAGTGGTGTCTCAGACAAGAACAGTTCATAGCTCCCACACAGTAGCCAAAGCAACACAGAATGCCGGGTATGGTGACACACGCCTGTAATTCCAGCACTTGGGAGGCTGAGGCAGGAGGATTGCTGTGAGTTCGAGACCAGCCTGGGCTGCATAATGAGTTCCTGGTCTCAATTACATAGTGAGACCCTGTCTCCAAAAAAAAAAGCAACACAGGATGGCCACAGCTTTTTTTTGTTTTTGTTTTTGTCTCTTATCTTACCTAGACTGTTGAGGGTGGGTAGCACTCACACCCTTAATCTTAGTGCCCTTGAGCCTAGCTTTGTATCATGAATCCATTTGTGTCACACACTGTAGCTTTAGCCAGCTCTTAGAAAGCCCCAGCTGTGGCTACGTGAGGCTTAAACTTGAGCCATACTAGTTTGCTATAATGTCCTGTGCATTATAATATGTTTAGCAAGATCCTTAGTGTCCAGCCACGAGACACTAGTTGCAACAATCAAAAAATGTCTACAGCTATTGTCAAATGTTCCCTGGGGGTCAAGATTGCCCCTGGTTGAGAACCACTGTCAGTAATTAGGATTTCCCTGTGGATCTCATGTAAGAGTGGTGGGCATTCTAATGAAATTAGGGCTCTGCCCTCAGAGAAGATGGATGCTGATAGTTAACCAACAGTGTCTGCTTCATGAGATAAAGTTATTTTCAACTTTAGAATGTTTCAAACTGACTTGAGATGGCTTCTGAATGTTTGCTATTCTCAGATGTGTCATCTTTGTAACAGTGGCAGTGGGAAAACTTTCTGATCATCCATGGCTCCTGCAACCCATAGGCAACTTTCTAGTATTTGATGACGGTTTGTCTCAAATGTCCACAAATGGATACTTAGATTAGCCTGAATTATCCCAAAAATATTGTGAACTCTATTGGGACAAGGGTATACCATTTCTTCTTCTTGTGTTTCTGCTACCATGCTAGAGACCCAGTAGCTATTCAGCAAATATGTTTATTCACTGTATATTTTTTGAGTGATTATTCTGTATAAGACAATTTAATTGAATTAAGATATTTCAGTGGATTGAGTCTTTTATCAATGTATTTACAGCTGCCAGTGTCTGTTTAGTTCAAGAGCAAGTTACAATGACTTTGCCAGGTCCTACTTTGAGTGGAGAGATTAAAGGGACTAAAATCACTGAGACCTTGGACAGGGAGAGGGCCTCTGTCTTGATCAAACTGTCAAACCTTTAGAACTTCTTTTTGACACATGCAAAAAAAGATGGATAGGCACTCTCGCATAGCTTGATCCAGGGAAGCATACATGTCTGTAAAAGGATGAAAATATTTTAAGTTAGAGCATCTGTATTTTTCTTCTATCAACAGGTAATTGTTGATGAACAGAACTTGGATTTCTTGTTGGCGTATACTATTTCAGCTATTCGGCAGTGTAGTTCCTGGACACACATGGAAATTCTTCAAGCCCTGGCAGCTCTGGTTTACTACAATGGCTCAAAATGTCAAAAGGTAGTTTAAACCACACTCTGCCTTTCCTTTGAAAGGCAAGCACAGACTCTGGAGTCAAAAGACCTGTGTTGGGGAATCTGTCTCGCTACTAATTGGGTGTATAACTTTGAGCATTCCTCAGAATTCCTCAGAGACATGTTTCCTCATATGTAAAATAGGTGCTCTGAGGATATAGTGAGACAACACTTGTAAAGTGCTTGGCACTCCATTAATTATTATTGTTGTTGTTATTCATCATCTGTGCAGCCAAGACTAAAGAGCTTCTACAACTACACAGTAATGGTCCTTATTGGTTTTTTGTTTTGTTTTATTTTTTTGGTACAGGGAATTGAACTCGGGTCCTTGCGCATATTGGTATTTTTTGATGTATGTTTACACACCCATCTGAGAGATTTACCTAACAGCTAGTCCCCTTAGTTTTTTAAAAAAAAATCTTTTTCTAGAAGCTTTTCTTAGACCAACATTGACTGTTATTTTGTTTTAGTATCTCCCAGACTTATTAGGCAAAACTGGCCTCTTGATGAAGATGAGTGACCTGGCTCAGTCTGACCCTGAAGTCAGGAGAGCTGCCGTGCATTGTATGGCAAACTTATGTCTCAGGTATGTGGGTCCAGTCGTGTTTCCTGTAGTAATAAGATAAAACCTCTCCCTGGCCTTTTGTAAATGGTTCCATCTGTCTGGAGTCAAAACTAACTTCGAAACTAATAACCTGCGTTATATTTCTCATGGCATTTAATAAGGTCTTATATTGTTTGTTTTAAAGAAAGCTTATAAAGAAATGAAGAAAAAATAACTATATGCTAAAAGTGATATATGCGCACTGTACATCAAGTTTTTTGTTTCCTATTGGTATAAATCGTAGCCATATTAAGTCTTTTAAAAGGATATATCCGTATGAATGTAAGCTGTGGTGTGGTTTATCTGTCAAGGCCACTTTCTTCTCTTTTAAGAGAATGGAACCAGCCTATAATATGTAATAGGTTGTGAGCAGCACAGACCCAAGCTTGTCTCCATAGCTTAGTGTTGCCCAGTAGCTAAGAAGGCAGGTTCAGTCATACAATTCTAACTCAGCAGGACCTGTTTGTGTATTTTCCTTGTAGAACTGGAAAGCAGAGCTACAAAAGATTATCTTTCTACATTTTTCTTCCACTATAAACTTCTGTAACTTTCTTCTATAGAAACTACTCTTTCTTCTTCATATTTATTCAAGCATATACCTATCCTACAGCAATAACTAATCAGCCAAAGTGCATAATTTTCCACAGTATCATTTCATTCAAGGGTATATTCTAACTTGAACTCTCTGTATTACTACTATGTTTACTTCTTATTTTTTTGCAAGTGCCAGGTCAGAAGAGACTTTTGAGTTGTTTTCTGTTTGTATTCTAGTGTGCCAGGACAGCCGTACTTGGAGGAGCCCTACCAAAATATTTGCTTCAAAGCTTTCTTGACCATTTTACAGTCTTCAAAATCATCTGATATGGATGATATAATATTTTGTATGGTAGGTAGGACTATCACTGATCTTCTGGTTGTTGCAGATATGTCTTGAAGCAGGAGTAGAGCCGAAGTTTATTACCAAAGAGTTTAATTTTGCAGCTACAGTAGTTTTGTTTAAAGATATTTGCACATATGTGGAATGTTTATAAGTCAGGAATACTGAATTTTTAGGTTTAAATGACAAGAAACTGTTTTTATTTGTTTTGTTTTGCTTTGGAATTGTTTTACCATTCTAGGATTTAAAAGAAAACTATTCTTTTTCCTCTTGAGTATAAAAGCAATACAATTTCTGGCTAGTAACTGACTTTAAGGTGAACAGGAAGAAAGTGGATTTCGATAATATCTGCAGTTTTATTTCTTTTGTTTTGTTTTTTTTAATCTGGCACACAACATGTTTTAAATTCAGAGCGACACATTTCAAACATTACAGATGCAAAATAGTGAAATTGCCTTGCAGTCCCCTGCTCAGATACAACCACTGGTGACAGTTCATTCCATGGGGCCTCAGATTTTTTTTCCATAGACAAATGGGCATATTTTTAAGCAGAATCATATTTAATATGCTTTTCTGTAACTGTAGTTTTTTTAAATCTTAATGTCTCTCAGACATCTTTTTAATACCTCTTAGTATACCTCATGTTTTCTAACTGCTGTAGCCGAGAGACCTTGTGTAAGTCATTTTGGAGCCTCTGTGTCTCTCTTGGTAATGGGATATAACTGCATCATATTGGTAGTTTCACCTTTAGCAGAGGGTTTCTTACATCATCACTAGTAATCATTATAATTGACGAAAATTGATTTTTTTTTCATTTTTCCACCATTTCAGACAAGGCTACAGTTCACATTCTCCCTTGTGGGGGGTATTTCTGAAGGACGGGGACCTAGAAATTAGATTACTGAGCTATGAAGTCAATCTTGATCAGAAATGCCCTGTAGAAATTATGTTTCTGGCAGGTTCCCTCAGCAATGCCTTTGCCTTATTATAGCTTACCCACTTCTGATCTCTGCTGCCACTTTCTTATTCCTTGTCACATTTTTCCCGCCATCTCTCTCTCTCCCTCTCTCTCTCTCTCTCTCTCTCTCTCTCTCTCCTCTCTCTCTCTCCCCCTCACTCTTTCTCTGTGTCTCTCTGTCTCTCTCCTTGCTCACCAGTTGTACATACTGGTTTATAAGGAAGTACAATAAGGCCATTCAATAAGGATACTCTTTTCTTTAGAAAATAATTGAGTGGTTTATCAGCTCTATTCTCTGGATCTTTGTCTCTGCTTTGTCTGATAGTCACATTTCTAAAGTGCTTTTCATCATCTAGAGATTTTTTTTCTCTTCTAAGTGGTGCCAAACATTGGATTTCTTAGGGCTAGGGATTTATTTAGCTCAGTGGTTCCACCACCTGCCTCGAAAGTGCAAGGACTGGAGTTCGAACCCCAATACCAAAACAAACAAACAAACAAAACTGGATTTCTTAATAACCAAATTTTATTCTGCCTTTTAACTTTGGATTTTTTTTTTCCCACTAGTTGTTACAGAATGCACTAAAGGGCATACAATCACTTCTCAATGGTGGGAAGATGAAACTGACACAGACCGATGAACTTGGAGCTCTTCTAGCTGTGCTAAAGGTAAGGCAAGTTTCCTTTATGATCAGTAATTCTCCTGTTTAAATTCTGGATGTGAAATTAGTTTATGTAATTGCACTGAGGCTAACTTTAATGTAAAAGTTCATATATCTATAGATATAGATATAGATATGTATGTATGCATGTGTGTGTGTATTTTTTAATAAAACAAAACATCTGTATTCAGGCATAGTTAAAAACAGAAAACAGCTGATTAAATAAATGTGTCAAAATTTTGAAAATTACAGTACCTTTGAATCTTAGGAGGAAATAGGTTGTAAGACAGGATTTGTAAGTAATTTAATTATAGATTATCATGACCCTGCTCTTACCTATTAATTTTTGAAAAAAGAGGCAGGGCTTCTCCTTGGCGCACCCCTCCCTACAGCAGGCAGCCCCATGAAGATGCTTGTCATCAGACTACTAGCTTCTGAGCCAGCTAGGCAGTGGGAAAGTCAGGTTGCCTTTCTGCGGACCCAGATATCTTCAGTTCAGCTAGGAAGGAGGAGGAGGCAATTTACTGTCCTCGGGTCAGTGTCATGTTTGACAGTCTAGCTTTATCCTGATTAAAATTTGATTTTCTTTCTATACCATTCTGTTAATCATTAATAAAATAGAGTCAGATAGCTAAATGTGAAGATAGATAACAAAATAAAATGATAAAGTTAGTTTTTAAAATGATAGATAATTGCATTAAAATGATTGGCTAAGTTAAATAAATAAAATCAAACCTACTGTGATGTGGCTAAAGCAGAACCGGCTGTAGGCTAATGAGATTAGGCTCTTCCTTAAGCCCTAAGCCTTCAAGGTATCTATTTTCTGTGCCATTTTTACTCCTTAGTAGTCTTTTAAACATTCATCTGTGTTCTGATCCAGATTATGGTAATAATTCTGTGACTTATGTTTTGTTTGTGTTTCCTTATTCATTGTTATTAGAAAACCATGTTTCATGGACTCCCTGGACTAAACATAGAGATGCCCACGGTACTCTACCCAACTCCACTTCCTCAGTATGATGGGCGACCACCTGTCAAACCACAGCAGTCAGAATCCAGTGCTTCTCGACCAGCTGTGGTACATTTCTGTCGGCTTAGATTTAATTTATGGATTGTTTTGAGTAACTTTCTATGCATGCTTCCTATGGGGTCACCATTACAGCTCCAAAAGCCCACCTTGAATTTGGTATCAATTAGGGTATTTAATGTAGTAAATTTAAATTTACCGAGATTGTTGAAAGTACCAGTTAAAGCATCCTGTGCTTCCAAGAGGTCTAGGCAGTGTAACAGCCTAGAAAATTAGCGTTTGCTTTATCTCCAAAGCCATCCTCATCCCCAAAAGATTAAGACCAAGGATTGGCTCATTCTTTCTATAAAGGGGTGGCTGATAAATACCTCTGGTTTTTGTCACAACTACAAACTCTGCCATGAGAGTACAAAAGCAGCCATAGATTCACTGTGGAAATGCATGGGCATGGTGTTCTTCCAATAAAGCTTTATTTATAGAAACAGGCTATGGGCTGGTTGGATTTGGCCATAAGGTCATCTTTACATTCACCAAATTTTCCAGCCTTTCAGATAGCTGCCATCTCCCTCATGTTTTGATTAGAGAATCTGGAACATATAGATGTATAAATTTCATTTTCAGAAATCTAATACCTGATTAAAAATACTTAAAATTAGAAATTCTTTCACTCCTAGCAGAATGATGTGATCAGATTTGCACTTTAAAAAGCTACTATGTAGCCAGGGATTTAGCTCAGTGGTTCTACCATCTGCCTTGCAAATGCAAGGTCCTGAGTTCAATCCCCAGTACCAAAAAAGAAAAAAGCTACCATGTTAGCAAGAATGGATCTGATCCTTAGCAAGTAGTCTGAGGGAGAAGAGATGAGCATCTTCTTCCTTAAGATGAGGGACTTTGAGCATACAGTGGAAGGAACAGATTTTAAAGATACTTGAAAATCAGAAACAAGTAGGGAAAAAAAAAGAAACTGGCTTTTACTTAATATGTATTCTGATGTAACCTCAGGGCCCCAAGACCTACATTATATATAATGGATTATGGTCCCATGTTCATGCACCCAGAGTGGTATAGATGTGTAGCTTAGTTGGGAAAACTGAGAAAGTAGACACTCAAGTTGTTTTCCATAGGATTTGATTCTCTGTGGAATCCTAGTTGAGACAGCTGAATGCTTTCACTACATCTGTGCAAGGTAGGTGGTATTAGCCTCATACTTACCTGAGGAAGATCAAGCTCAGAGAGGCTACATGATGTGCCCAGAAGTAGAGTTTAAACCTATTTTGCTCTGTCCAATGCCTTCATGCCTTATTTCTTCCAGACTAAGATGGTGTATGAAAAACACTTAGCATTCCACCTGATAGAAAAATATTGAGTAAATTCCACTTTTTTCTTTTCTCCTGTCTTCACATTACATATTTGGAACATATTTAGTTACCTTCAAGTGAGGTGTAGTACCAATGATTCAGTTAAAAACTGCTTTGAAATAGCTGTCAATATCTATCATCTATATGTCTTTCTTTGCTCCTAAAATCAGAATAAAAAGAAAAAATCCAAGGTAAAACCAAAGAAAATCCAGCAAGGAGAGGAGGAGGAAGAAGAATCAGGTGGTGAAGCAGAAGCAGCTGCAGGCTCTGGCACAGGCAGCGTGAAGATGTGTGAAGGAAACACCTGGTGTCCCTCCTCTGTGGGAGTTCAGAGTTTGCCTGGAAATGAGAGTAGAGCTTCTGGAATAGCACAAGTCTCCTCCCACTTCAGGTCTTCCAGGTGGAAAAGAGTCAGCAGTAGTGAATCAGACTATTCTGATGCAGAAGGAACCATGCAGGGTAAAGTGAGGTAGTAGTATTTTGTTGTCTTTTTATACCTTGTATTTTAAGTTGCACATCAGTTTATCTTTGTTTAAAAACACAACTGCTTCATGTCATTGAACTTAAGACTCTCATTTTTATGAGGTTTTTGTATTATTCTGAATGTGCTTTGCTCTTTTGATCTGCCCACACCTATCGCTGTCCCTAGAATAATGTTCCTATCACCTTTTTTTTTTTTTTTCGCATTTTTGTCTTGGTAGCCACTATTCATCTTTGATAAGAAATCATACTCTGAAAAACTTTTTCCATTCTCCCCCTCCCAGTTCTGGTTAGGTACCCCTTCTATGTGACCCTTTGACTTCCATCCGACCTAGTGTTATTCACAATGTGATACAGTTTTCTGTTTGTCTTATCACAGCCACTAACAAGCTTGTGAAGGGCAATGGCTTTGTGTATGCCTCTGCCTCAGCATATCTGGCACAGGCATGTAAGATCACTGGGTTAGTTGTTGAATGGATGGATGGGTACTCCACATTGTTTAATATCTAACACTAGTTCCCTAACATCAAAATATTACCCTCTCATTCTCTCTCTAGTTGTGTCTTTGGTCAGCCTTAATACCTTGCTAAATAGCAAAATGCCTTAAGAAGTTTTGATCATCCAGGCGTGGTGACACACGCCTGTAATCCCAGCACTTGTGAGGCTGAGGCAGGAGAATCGCTGTGACTTCAATACCAGCCTGGACTACATAGTGAGTTCCAGGTCAGTCTCAACTACATAGTGAGACTGTCTCAAAAACAAAACAAAAAAAAGAAGTTTTGATCAAATTTTTCAAAAAATTTTTAATACCTTGTTAATATCTTTAGGGATTATTCAGAATGTGTAATTTCTCAATGTATCATTTGAATTGGAATAAATAGCATGTCATGTTTACATTTTTTTAAAACTTCCCCCAAACTTTTTCTCTTCTTATTTTGTATATGAAAGGTCCTACCAAGCCAAAGTTCGCCAAGGAGCATTAGCTTGTTTTCTTTCTACAATAAAGTCAATAGAAAAAAAAATTCTTTATGGATACTGGTCAGCCTTTGTTCCTGACACACCAGAGCTTGGAAGCCCACAGTCTCTGTCCTTAATTACGCTTACCTTAAAAGATCCTTCTCCCAAGGTAAGAGTATTTGCTTCATTAGGAAGATGAAGTTTCCATGTCTCTATTTCTTCTCTCTAACCTATCCGATCTTTTCTGAACTCTGTTCTTACTAATACTGACTCAAGTCCTGACTCGAGAACCACTGAACAAGAGGAGGAGGAAATGGGCTTCTGTGACTAACACAATGAGGGAGATTCTGCAGAGGTTGCTTCTGGCCTAGGCTTTGCTTGAAGCCTGAACACATGGTTTATAACTCTGGTGTCTCTTCTGAGCTCCACTGAAGCTGCTGCGCTTCCTTTCCCATGAAAATAATGATTACTGTTGCATTTATAATAGAAAAAAAAAAGCACAAATGAACATAGAGGATGTATATGGCTTAGAAAAATTCTCATAATGTTTTGTTAAAGTTCAAGGTGTAAATACTATATACAGTAGGATCCCAACAGTAGTTTTTCTTTCAATTTTTCTGTATTTTTTCATATTACGTACAATGAATATTTAAATATTTTAATTTTAATTCTTTTTTTAAAGAAGAAGAAATAGTTCGGCAGCCACAGATATCTACAGCAAGATATCCCATGGCTGATACCGCATCTGTCTTGGCCTAGATATGTTCATTCCTCCCTAGAAGTTAGCCTCTTAACCAAGTAAGGAAAATAGCCTGCTGTTGGGCTCCCCTTCCAATAATGGACATTAAAAAGTCATGCTGAATGGTGTCTGAATGTCCTCAGGTAACCCAGCTACCCACAGAAAGTAAAACAGTTTTATTAAGCTTTTCATTAAACATGTGGGAGGGGAGGTAGTAATGTACAATACATCGAAATAGCCTTGTATCATCTTGAATAGATAAGGAAACTTCTAGATGCCGCTTCAAAAGTTTAAGGTAGCCTTAATTATATAGAGAGTGATTCTTGTGTATACCTAGTACCCGAAGTAGTTAGACCAGCAGAAATTTTGCAACTCAGCTATATCTATAGTGAATGAGAACCTGGGAGAAAAATGGAAAATGAATGGCAGCAAATATATTAATAATGAAGACATCCTATTAATTGGAAGGAAAACTATAAAAATTTAAAACTATGTACTCCCCAGCCAGGGGTAGCTGGCAGCAGTGCCCAAGGAAATGGCGCCATGAGGCAGGCAGCAGCACAAGTGAACCACCCTGCCACAGCTGCCCAGCTAGGAGGAGGCAGGGCACATGTGAGCTTGGGATGTGAACACAGAGAGGTCTAGGGGTCATATCTGGTGAGGGTGAACTGAAACAGTTTTCGTGGTAGTTATATCTTTTGAAAGTTTACATTTGATTTAAAATACCATGAGAAATTTTATATATTGAACAGTGATCTTTTCTGTCTCCTTGATTTGGGTACCTTTTAGATGCCTTGCTATTTAAGTTGAGTGAATGCAAGAAATATGGTATGAGGGAAAAGGTACAGTACTTCCTTGTGGACATGTCCTAAAATCAATGCAAAAACCCCATGAAATCTCCTGGAGAAACAGAGAAACGAGTCATTCTTTTTATTAAAGAGAACTGCAATTAAAAAGGATGAAAGAAATGATTAATATTAGTTCAATCTAACAACAAGTGAAATCATTGTACTCACGTGATTTTTATCAAATATTAGCTTGAAGGGGTATAAATAAGTATAATAATTATTGACCATGAAGCCTGAGCTATACTTTTGGAAACTTTTACCCTGTAGTTAATTATGCATCAAGACACATTCTAGGGCCGAGGATTTAGCTCAGTGGTTCCACTGTCTGCCTGGCAAGCACAAGGACCTGAGTTCAACCCCTGGTACCAAAAAAAAAAAAAAGACCTTCTAGAAGAAGGTGCTGCCGCAGATAATGTCAGTGAGAGGTTCTTATAATGACTTCTGGAAAATTACATGCAGAACATAAAACAGCTTCTCTAAAACCCTTTCTTCTAGTGAGAAACAGAAGAAAAAGTGAGTTGCTTCTTTGAGTCAGAACACTAGGAATAAAAGTTACTTTCAGGAAACTGGAACATGAACTATTGGTAGTTATTTGGAAAGGAGAACAGAATTTCTTTTAGGATTTGGTAGTATGGTGGTACTTGGGAAATTAAATTTCCATGTTGGAAATGTGCTCCCGAAAGCACATCTTATAAATTAATAAACATAACGTGACTAATATAAGAATTTCTTCTATGATTTCCTCAGGCAGATGTATCACCAAGTTTTGGGCCTAAGGAACAAAGGGCAGACCTTTCTCTGGACACCTTGAGAATCCAGATTTTCAATTACAGGATGATCTTTTATTTCTCTTTTAGATAATTTAAAGGTAGAAACAAAGCAAAATTTAGGTGCTAGCATAACTAGAAAAGAAAATAAAGCTTAAAATTTTTAACTGTTACAAAATGCTAGGTAACCAAGCTTTCCTTTGTAGGGTCATTCAGGAACAGACAAGTTTTACTTGGATGTCTCTAAATCTAGAGCTCTGGCACAGTGTTAACATGATTTCCATTAAAAAACGACAACTTTGGGAGCCAAAAAAATTAACCTTGAAACATGTGAATAATAATTAATTCTGTACTGGAAACTGAGAGTGTGGTTAACGGTAGAACACTCGCCTAGCACACATGAGGTCATACAGTCCTCAGTACGAAAGCAACAAATACATGCATACACAGTACGTGGACAGAGTCAAAGAAGTAACAGCCTGTTTTCCTGCGTGGACTCCTCAATAGTACTTACTCCCAGCAGGAACTTCTTTTTCACCCCTTGAAGAGTATCCTGTGACCAGACATTCATAAAAATGGGGGAAGAAATTAAGATTGACTGGGCTACTTCAGCAAACATTTCTGCTACATTCATAAGTAAGAGAGAGAGAGAGAGGAAAAACTTCTGTTTTATTAGTTTTAGACAAGCCTTCATGTCCAGGAGGTGAAACTACATATTAGTAAAACTGAGCACACTGATATTCATGAGATTGGAACATCTTTCATCCATCATTGTAAATATTCAGACGATAAAACTTAACAAAATGAGCTCTCCAGGGAGTTGTACCTATTATGATTTACTAGCGCATCAGCAATTTCTGCTGAAAGTGCTGATTGGAACTGGTAAACACGATATTAAATATTGATGTAAGAGTAAATGAAGCAGAACTTGAGCAAGATTCAGTATTAAGTAACAGTTTTATAATAAAGACACTAAGCAGAGTTGAAAGGAAATTAACTCAGAACTGTGAAAAGTATGACAGTGTAGTATCAAATTTCTGTGTAGATTTTATACTTCATGGGAAAAAAAATATCCAATTTCAGTGTCATTTCTTTTGCTTTCATCCGTGATTTTCTTGAATATTATCTTCCTTAGGACACCAAAGTTAATCGAACTAATTTTTTTTTCCTCTTTCAACATCAGTTTATTTCTTTCTACAACCTGATCTTTAATTTTATTTGGTTTGTGAGCTGTTGGAATTGTAGCTTTTAATTGCTTTCTGAAGAAATGAAAAATTAGCATGAGATGTCTTTTTCCATTCAGGCCAACCAGCCCATCAGCAGTTGGCAAACTGTGGCCTGTAGAACAAATACCGCCCACCCCTGCTTTTGTATGACTTGTGAGAATGGTTTTTACCTTTTAAATATTTTGTAATTATCAAAGAATAAATTTCACGGTATGGGAAAATTATATGGAATTCAGATTTCATTATTCATACATAAAGTTTTATTGGAACTCGGCCATATTATTTATTCCTTTATGTAGTATCTGTATTAGTAGGGCAGAGTTGAGTGGTCCTGACAGAGACTGTGTCCTGTAAAGTCTAAATCATAAAACATGACAAAGTTTGCCAGCCCTGATCTGGTTTCTTAGATCAGCTTACTTCACATATTGCATAGTTTCTTAAGCATTGTCATCTTTCTGGATTCCACTGCACAGAAGGCCTACAGAAATGATTTGCTTTTTTGTTTTTTTGTTTGTTTTGTTTTGTTTTGAAGATAGTATAGTTGTAGGCTTTCTGGAAATCTTTTTCACTCTGAACCCATACTCTTCAAATTGAGTAAATATTTTAATTAGATTCTAAAATTGTAAAAGTCATTCTCTACCTGAAAAATACTCTGACCAAAACGTGTTTAATTGGCATTTTTGGGGTGAGCTGACCAAAGGAAGGAGTAGTATTATATATTAATAGTCCTGCATTTATTACCTATATTCCAGTTTGACTAAATTGACTTTCTTTCCATTTCTGATTTTTGGTGCCAGAAAATTATGTGAGTACCAATTGAAAATGATCTTTTAACCTTATAAAGAAAACCTGGGTGCAGTAACACGTTTCCTGACATAGACAACAGTCCATGACAAAAATGTACTTTTCCCCCTTTCCATCCATACAATTAACACTCTCACTACAAGCAGTGTTATATCCTACACCTATGAGTGTTTCTAAACATTTAATGACTAATGGCGCCCGCCAGTTTGAATGTTCACACAGATCCTAATGATCTATTTAATACCTAGCACTCAGATGCTTCAGAGTGGAATACAGTGTGGAATGGTCTCTGGAACTTGACATGAAACAGACTCTAAACACACGTTTTGTTTTGTTTTAACCCCATGGGCCTGTAAACTTTTGTCTTTTTAGTTGTGCTTATGTTGGAATAAAATAGACCTCTGAAATTTATCTTCTTGCTTAGGATTTCAGGTTTTCATGCTGTAGTGTACCTTAGTCTTATTCCTTACTGTTTGAAAACCTTACAGTGATGAAAGATTGTTTTTAAGGTATGGAGTACAAGTCGCCTAGTTTGTGACCGCTTTCAGAACCTGATAATCCCATTGCCTTTAGTCTGCTAACTAAGATGATTGATTCTAAATACTACTATATATGGGAAAGAGGGAATCTGGCTCTTAATTTTTAACTAACGTATGAATCATCCTGAAATTTCAGACACGTGCCTGTGCTCTGCAAGTTTTATCTGCCATATTAGAAGGCTCAAAGCAGTTTCTTTCTGTTGCTGAAGATACCACAGACCACAAAAGGGCTTTTATTCCCTTCTCCGTAATGATTGCTTCCAGCATTAGAGAGTTGCACAGATGTCTTCTGTTAGCTTTGATGGCAGAGTCATCTTCACAGACCCTTACCCAGATAATTAAGGTAAATATTCCAAGTGACCTGTGGTTCCTGAGCGGCCTCTTTGTTTGAATTTTGTTTGTTTTGTGTAGCCTAAAAGTAATTTAACTTCGGCCAAGTGTGGTGGCGCACGCCTGTAATCCCAGCACTCAGGAGGCTGAGGCAGGAGGATTGCTGTGAGTTCAAGACCAGCCTGGGCTACACAGTGAGTTCCAGGTCAGTCTCAATTACACAGTGAGACCCTGTCTCAAAAAACAAACAAACAAAAAGTAACAACTGAAAAATACAAATAATTTTATTAAAGATATCCTATTTGAAAGCCTGTACCCACTTGCCTGATCTTTTTTTTTTTTTTTTTTTTTTAAACCGGGGATTGAACTTGGGATCTTGCACTTGCCAGGCAGGCAGCAGAACCACTGAGCTAAATACCTGGCTGTGTCTGATCTGACCTATAATCGCTGTATGTCCAAATAAAATTGCTTCTTTCATTTTACTAAAAATGATTCTTTAATTTTAGTATTAAGTTGTACCAATGTATTTTTAAGCAAGTGTTACTTTTTAAAAATGAGGAAAGGACTGATTCTCATTAAGTGTAAAGACCATTTAAATTAAGTTCTGTAAAATTTTGCTTCTATGATGTGGCTTAATCAGGCCCATTGATGAGCTGTTTTTGTATATGTATGTGTGATTTACAGTGCCTTGCAAACTTAGTATCAAATGCACCTTACAACCGTCTGAAACTCAGCCTGCTGACCAAAGTCTGGAATCAGATAAAGCCTTACATCCGCCACAAAGGTTGGTAGTGTTTTTTAAATTAATCGCTTTTTTACATCAATCAAATGTAGGTTCTTAGTAAATTTAGATCTTTCTCAGAGGGGAAAGGGATCAAGAGATGGAGGGAGGCGAGGGACAGGGGATGAATAAAGGAATTTGGATGTGTTAAGTACATGTACTAACTCCGCACAACGAATATAAACATTATGTGCTGCAAACATGTTCCCAGCAAAGGAAAGGGGATCAACAGATGGGGAAGGGGGAGGGACGGCGGGAAGGGAAAGGGAGTGAAGAAAGGACTTAAGATGTATGAACTTCCCACAAGGAATGTAAATATTATGTACTACACTCATGTACTAATAAAATAATTTTTTAAAAAATATTCACAACATTTTATAACCCTAAGAGGTTGTCTGCTTATCTCCTCAGTTTTGTAAGAGTCCCAGCTGGCCAGGTGTGGTGGCACACTCCTGTAATCTGAGGCTGGAGGAGCACAAGTTCAAGGCTAACCCAGGCTAATTAGTGAAACTAACAAAATAAAAAAGGCTGAGGCTGTAGCTCAGTGATGGAGCACCCCTGGGTTCAGTCTCTAGTACGTCAACAACAACGAAGTACAAACTGTTGCTGGAATCCCATTTTTGATCCCTCAAGTCCCAGTAGAAAAAAAAAAAAAAAAAGCTAGAGAACTAACAATAAAATACTGTTGTGTTAGGTACGCATGTACCAGTTCCCCTCAATGAATGTAATCATTATGTCCTGCAGACATGCACTAACCAAAAAAAAAAAGAAAAAGTTTAATGCTACTTCAGTGCTTCACCGCAGTGACCAGAGTGCCCCTTTAGAACTAGGAAATAGCCAAGTACACATGGCCTCCTGCAGATGTATTATGATTAATGTCTTTAGGCATAGATAATGGATAGATGAATGGAAAGACAGATGCCATCCTTTTTTGGAGAAGAAAAACTATAATACAAAACCTAACTTCTTTAACATTTCCTCTGAAATTCAGATAAATCCCAAAACTTCAAATGCTCATTAACTACAGTCTTAGTTTTTGTTAGTTCATCTCTTACTCCCACACATAATGTCTATGTGCTATAAACACTTGCCTTTAGAATATTTGGTTTTCTTCTGTTAAGAGCTTTCAGGTCAGACCACATTCTGATGAGCTTTCATTCAGAATTGTAGGAGAAGTAAGCACGCATGTTTTCCATCACATGAGTGGGAGGACACTGAACCTGAGTCAGTCTGAGGGTCTGCAGTCCACTCCTGTTTCTGCCGTCTCATAACCATGGCCCTCTGTACCTTAATTTTCTCCTAACAGGAAGGATTATGTCTATTCCATGAGATATTTATGAGGCTCAAATGATATAATGATGTGCAAACTTAAGTCCAACCCACTACTTACAGGACTCAGAAAGACAAGTCCTACCTTTAGATCTTTCATCCTATTAGTGGCAAAAATAATATTAACCAACCTGTCTGCAGCTCCACCCCCTGCTCATTCTACTGCACTTGCTTTTCTTTTATTTGTATCTTCATCCAAGTGGCTTCCACCCTTTCAAGTATCTGACTTTGTTCTCCAGTGTTTTTATTATGAAAATGTTCACACCCTGAAACACCTAGATATAAATCTAACAAAATATATACAAGATTTATATGAAGACTATATAATTCAGATTAAAGAAATTAAAGAACCAAGTAAGGGGAAAGATAATCCATGTTTGTATATACGAAGATTCAGTATTGTCAAAAGGTCAGTTCTTCCCAACTATAGGTTCTGTGAAATCCCACTCAAAATCCCATCAAGTTATTTTATAGGTATAAACAAACTAATTCTAAAGTTTATATGGAGAAACAGAAGACCTACAATGACCAGCACAATACTGATAGAGAAGGAACAAAATTGAAGGGCTGATGCCATCCAGCTTCAAGACTTACTATAAAACTACGGTAATAAAGACAGTGTAGAATTGGCAAAAGAGTTAGCATATAGATCATCAGAATAGAGAAAGGAGCCCAGAAATAGGCCCACTTCATATCATCAGTAGATGTATGAAAAAGGAGCAAATACATTCTTTTCAAAAGTCTTAGAATAGCTAGACATCCATATGCAAAAAAAAAAAAAAATCGGGACACAGACTTTTAGTTTTTTTCCTATACTTTTTTTAAAAAACCTGGGTTCATTGAAGGTCCATGCGTTACATTTACTATTATGTCTCTTTAGAGTTTTGAATTCAGTCTTCCCCCATGTTTTTTGTGTCTGTGTGAGTAGGAAGTGGTAGTACTGGGGACTGAATCCAGAGAAGCTGTACCCCCAGCCCTTTTTATTTTGAGACAAGTCTCACTAAGTTGCCCAGGCTGTCTGTCTTTGAACTTGGGTCCTCTTGCCTCAGCCTCCTGAGTATGTGTGTGTGTGTGTGTGTGTGTGTGTGTAAAATACTGATTTTTGCAAGACTACATGTCATTTGTCTTATAGAATTTCCAATGTTCTGATTCTTTGGATTGTTTCTTTATGATTTGCCTCATTTAGTTCCTATGGACTAGAAATGTAATAATTTTTAATTGACTACAGAGACAAATGTGATCTTTATGATAGTGGTTCCCATGTGATAAGGTCTCTTTCTTTTGACAGACGTTAATGTTCGCGTGTCAAGTCTTACACTCTTGGGAGCTATCGTGTCCACTCATGCACCTTTATCTGAAGTCCAGCTGCTTCTCCAGCAGCCCTGTTCTTCTGGACTCAGCAATAGCAATCCCGCGACTCCTCACCTCAGCACTCCTGACTGGTGGAAGAGAGCCCCAGTGGGACCCTCTCCAGAAGAAGCAGCAGTGAGCTCTCCTACAGGGTCCTCAGAGCCCTGCTGGCTCATCCGACTCTGCATTTCCACTCTTGTGCTGCCCAAGGAGGATTCCTGCTCAGGTAGCGACACTGGCCCTGTGGCAGGAAGCACATACGAACCGTCCCCCATGCGACTGGAGGCCTTACAGGTAGGCATCTGCATTTCCCACTCTGAACGCAGTGAGAGTTCCTTCTGCACTGGATGACCTTGAGGAGTGGGTACAGGGACGGCGTGGGAAACCAAGCTATGTCAGGATATAGGTGGTATAGGTGGTTTCTGTTGTTTCGTTTAGGGGGTGGGGTTCCTGGGTTGTCAAATGCCAGATTCATTCCTTTTTGTTCTTTTGTTGCAAGCTATTGTATTCATATCAGGTCTTCTATGACAGCTGGGTATAATTATACAGTAATTTGGAAAGGAATCACACAGTTAATCTTTGGTTTCTGCAGCTCTTTAGTTCTTGATAAACATATCTGGTCTTGTATCTGCTTAATAAAGATAAAATAACTGCCCCTTCAGAAGAAGAAAATAATCGTAAATTTTTAAAAATTGCTTTTTCTCCAGATGGTCTAAACTTAGGCTTGGCCCTGGAGGCTGCTGCTGATTATCTGGATAACATTAAAACTCCCCTTAATCTTCTCAGCCCTAGTTTCTTCCTCTGTGAGCTCAGTCATTACCTGCCTCAAAGAGTTGTCCTAAGGAGTTAAGTGAGGTAATATTAGTAAAACACATGAACAAACTATACAACTATAAAATATCATAAAGTTATACAGTGTTTTTCATTTAATTCAACATCAGATCTCTGCCCCTTGTTAACCGGTGTGATTTCTGAAGTATTAGAACACTTTTTTGTACCACAGCCTTGCATTCAGATCTTGGAATTAATTCCCCCTGCTCTCTGTAGGTATTGGCTCACCTGGCCAGGGGCTACTTTTCAGTGGCTCAGGTCTACTTGATGGAGCTCGGTGAGGTGATTTGCAAGTGCATGGGTGAAGCAGATCCATCCATTCAGCTTCATGGAGCAAAGGTAATTCATTAAAAGCCTTTTTCTTCTGAGATTTCAGGTACCGAAGACATGCAGTCCTCTATTTTCACTGCTTGCCTATAAACCTAAAGAACTGATTTGGTAATAAACTAACACCATGTAGCTGTTGGTCTTACTCTTTGAAAGAATATCTCTTTTATAGGAATTAATGAAAAGTGAATAAAAATCAGCTAGAAATTATTTTTCCCTTGATTTGAGATGAGCTCCAAACTGAAGTGAACTTGTTTGTAATCCCATCGTTCTAATGCTCCGCTTTGACAGTTATTTCTTTAATCTTGGCAGCTTCTAGAAGAACTAGGTACAGGCTTGATACAGCAGTATAAACCAGATTCTGCTGTAGCACCCGAGCAGAGAATACCAGTCTTCTTGGTAAGTCCGTAGCTTAGTCCTTCAATTTGTTTAATTTTGATGTGTAGGGGTAAAGTGAGGTAGATGGTAATGGTGTCTTCCAGTGTCAAAAATTATGGTTTATAATCTAGCATGATGTGAAATTAGCATTAAGAGATTTTATTTGCAATTCAGCATGTAGTGGGATTATAGGTATCATACAACCAGCAGTGGCAAAAACAACAATTCTTTCACACAAAACCTAGCTTGTTTATTCAGCCTACTGAAGAAGGCAGAATGAGTCAAGGATTTTAAATTAGAAGGTATGAGATCAACTCTGAAGAGCAACACTTAATGGACCTGTAGTTATAGCTTAGTCTCTTCATTTTAAAGAGGAATAAAAATCCTTAAATCAAATGTAAGGATGCTGGTGCACACTGGATGCTCAGTGAATGTTAATCCCTGTAACCCCCTCAAACCTCCCCTCTTGATTCCTTTTCAATTCCTGTGATCCCATATTGCTCCTGTTACCCTACTGTGCCAGTTCTTTGGGTAAGGTGCATGCGATCCATCAAAAATAAATATATATGTATGTATGTATATATATATATATATAT